GAAAAATCCCTTTCAACGGGAACCTATATAGATCCTGATCCAATATATGCAAATTGGATCCACCATCTTCAATTTCCTAATTTTGTCAAAAGAATCATAAACTCTGATACCGAAAACCCCCAAATACCAATTTTGAATAGAATAGGGTTATAATTACGAAACTACCATATTGGATCCGTCATCTTCATTTTTCTGATTTTGACAAAAGAATCATATTTCCCGATAACGAAAACCCTCAGATACCTACCAATTTTGAAAATAATCGGATCATGAACAGAACTCGTCCGCCATATTGGATCCGATATCTTTATTTTTTAAATGTTGACAAAAGAATCATAAACTCCGATACCGAAAACCCCCAAATACCAATTTTGAATAGAATAGGATTATTTTTTTTATCGCTTGGAGCGCACGAGAGGGAATCCCTATAATGTTCAAAGAACATCGTGCGTTCCTAGGGAGGATAGGGATAGGAGGTAGGTATTGGAATTTTTTTATAATTACAAAACTCTACCATATTAGATCCGTCATCTTTATTTTTCTGATTTTGACAAAAGAATCATATTCTCCGATACCGAAAACCCCCAGATACCAATTTTGAAAATATTCGGATCACAAGTACAAAACTCGTCCGCCATATTGGATCCACCATATTTAATTTCCTTATTCTGACGAAAGTATCATTATTTTCAATCCCGAAAACCACCCGATACAGAGATTTTGAATAGAATCGGATCATAATTAGAAAACTCGTCCGCCTTATTGGATCCGCCATCTTGAGTTTCCAATTTAAAAAATAGTTTACGATCGATTATCAGTCCTACCAAAAATGCACAAAAATTTTCATAAGAATCGGTCAAGCCGTTTCGGAGGAGTTTGGCCAGAAACACTGTGACAGAGAATCAATAATATATGTTAGATATAAACTATCGTATGACTTTCATTCTATGGCGCGGTCATCACAGGATGAGAATACTAGGTGGTAAATATAATAATGTGAAATATATCATTCCACTTATGAATTTCTACTACTACTGATTTGGCGACGTACTCTGATTAAATACTGGCAACACTTTAGGTGACTTTGTACCTATTCCCTTAGTACAGCCACAAATATTATTCAGAGACATCTATTGATGAATTAAATGTATCTAAAGGATTCTGTAGAAATAATACATGAAACTATAATTATGGCGCCACTAGACGGCTGTGATATATTTATAGTTTCACTGGTGTCTGTGGGCGGACTATTTCACTGTGATGCGCGCCCTGAATTAAAGTTATGAACGAATGAATCTCTTGCTGTTCCTGTAAAATCAATAATTCTCGACAGTATTTTACTATACTTCACTATCGAGCTGCGACATCTGTGCGTGTCCTACTCAACTATCTGAATTTACTTTGGCGAGTCACTGCAATGCAGTTTCCTGTAACATTTCGATTTCAACCTGATCCGATGATTTACCGTCCGATAAAATACGGTGTCGACGAGTTACGGTTTCTATGAAATACAGATCTGCTGAATTACCAGTTATTCAATATGGAGAATTAATGTTGATGAAATACGGGTTTGATAAATTACTGATTCTATGGAATACGGATTTGATGAATTACCGTTTCTATAAATTACGGGTTTGACAAATAACAGATTCTATGTAATACGGGTTTGATGAATTATCGTTTCTATAAAATACGGGTTCGATGAATTACTGATTCTATAAAATACGGATCTGATGAATTACCGTTTCTATAGAATACGGGGCTGACAAATTACTGATTCTATGAAATACGGATATGATGAATTGACGTTTTGATGAAATACGGGTTTGATGAATTACTGTTTCTATGAAATACGAATCTGATGAATTACCGATTCTACGAAATACGGTTATGATGGATTATTGATTTGATGGAATACGGTTCTGGCGAATTACGGTTTCTAAAAATTACGGTTTCGCTTAATTACGAATTCGATAAGTGTTCACTCTGATAGATTGATGTTTTGATGAAATACGGATCTGAATAATTGCCGTTTCGATGCTCAACAGGTTCTATACGATATTGTCTCGATATAATACGATTTTGATGATTTACTGTTTCGATGGAATACGGTTATGATGGATTACCAATTCTAAAAAATAAGGTATGATGTTTTACTTCTCTATGAAGTACATTTCTTTGTTTAACTGTATGATGAGATACATTATGATCCTTTATATTTTGATGAATTATTGGTTCTATGAAGAACAGTTTCTACAGAATGCCATTATGATAGAATTCGATTTGATGAAATACGGTTTTGATACAATACGATCTGACGAAATATATGTACCCCAGCAATCTGACCTATAACATTGTCTTATGGGGTCAGCCTATAGATAGGCAGAAAATATTTGTTGCCCAAAAAAAAATCATAGGGAATATTTTTAACATGCATCCTCATGATTCTTGCAAGCAGGTCTTTGTCAAACATAACCTCATGTCTTTTCCATGCATCTACATATACAGAAGCCTACTGTATGCGAGAGAAAATATATCAAAATATACCAACTAGTCATCATTACATAATTACGAAACCAGACTTTCTGACTTTTGATCCATCCCTAAACACAAAACTAAAAAATTTTAAAATTGAATTTCATATACAGGCTGATTTTAAAATGAGTGCATATATTCAAGACATATATATGAGAGAAACTAACAAAAATTACTAAAATATTCGATTTTTCCTAAGTCTTCACATTAACGAGAAATTTCATTTTGAAAATTGAACATAAAATGCTTCGAAATTCGAGAACGCCACTGGGAAGCAAGTGAAATCTGCGGAATCCCAGGAAATCTCCAATTCGTCATTCACTAACGTCAAAACAAGACAGTGATGTCAGATTGTTTCAGAGACGAATATCCTGATAAAAATTTGTCACAGAATGAATATGAATTGGAATAGGTTATGGAAACTAATAGAGGTGAATGTAATATGTACAGGAGCCTTATTTTTTAAAGTTTACTGAGAGAACTGTGGGGTGATTATCTCCATGGATCACGAGATACGGAGAGAAACATGAGGGGAATGATGGAACGTCCCCCTTCCTTCAATTCGAAAATAAGGCCCCAGCGGGTAGATACAAAATTAGCAGACAATAAATAGGTACACAACATACACAAAGTTGAAAATCGACTCACCTAGTAGATTTTCTCATACCTGCTCGAACAGCAAAACTCCCGAGAGCAAACAAATACTAATATCGAGTCCATTCCAGACTAATATCGTCCTGTGTTCTTGTTGGTTCATATTCGCACTTAAACCATCGAAAACGATTCGACGACGACATATCCTTCACGACACAAGACACAACATCCAATTATTTTATTTTTTATTTTACGTTTACAATTATTTTACAAACCAGCAACCACACAAACAAAACTATCATCATATGATCTGTCAACATCATTCCTCAGAACAGTAGTATCTGTGACCATAGATTTCCTCTTTGCTGTGACCTTTGACAGTACTAACTAGGATTGTTCGCGTTCTATTACCATTTCACGAAGATTGTTACGATATTACGATTTGTCATGAATCTACTACTATTTGCTATTAGCACCAAAATATGTTCCAATACTAAAAAATCTATTTCTGTGCTCAGCGGATAATTATGTTCCGTTCTATGTTCTATATTTATGTCAAAACTGTGATTAGTGCGATAGGGTTTGACAAGAATGACATTCCGAATGTCAAATGTCAGATTTTTCGAGTCTATTACCTTTTGATACAAATCTGATACCTTTTTCCAAGGAAATCTATTACGAAAAAATCAGACCCAGGAACAACACTGACTAGTAAATGTAAAGTTTTGTTTCTGACAATTTGCTTGGAATGTGACGAATTGACGATGCATTTCTCAAACATTGAGCTGAATGATATGGTTCTTATGTCGGGTCGTTATTGTGCGGGGCCCATGAGACTCCTCTAAGGACACGAAATTGTAGCGATGCAAGGAGGTGGAAGGAAGGGTCTGAAGGATTTTTCAGTAAAAGAACTTCCAACCGTGAGGTGTTAAGCTATACGCTATTCGAGCTTATGTGTACAAATCTTGGGAGAGTCCATTTTAAAGTTTTTGTATTATCTTTCTGAAATTCAAGACCAGGGTTAACTTCTTCCCCATGTACATTTTCTCGATTATACATTTTATTTAATATCTCCTAATTTTCATGTAGAGTGGCAACGTCGCTTCGTTCATCACGGTCGACTGCGGATCGCAAACGATAGTTGTGACAGAAGTAGAAATCTGGGCGGAAAAAGGGTATTTTGCCCCAAATCTATTTTGATCCTAATAATATTTTTAATAGTGCTATTCGGTTGTATACCTCAAGCTTTCTTAGTGTTTAAAATATATGCACTTATTTTAAAATCAGCCTGTATAGGAATCAATATGTATAACCATCTTGCAAGTAGCTACAAACTTCTCAATGATGACCTCTTCAAAAATTCTGTAAAAGAACTACTGTTGAGAAAATGTTACTATACAGTATTCAGGAGTACTTCTCGGACAGAGACATATAATGTTTGATTCAAATCCAGTATAGTGACTGATTTCATGTTCAAGTGTCTCATTCTTTCTGACTTATTCTAGACATTTTAAAAATGTCCTACAGGATCAATAAATATTATTATTATAGAGATTTTCATTTTATCATGCGTTTTGGAAATATTCTGGAAAAACATCTTCAAATCATAACCCGACTTTCAGAAGGTTTCATCTTCCTTATTAGGAAATCATTTTTTGGCCGATGCTAACTTTTGTTTCCATCGATTATAAAAGTATAATATGTATATAAGTATCATAAGTTATGCTGCTGAACAGAAGCTATTTTTGAAATAGCTCACATTTGTAAGGGTATCCATTCATCTCTAGGTACATATTTTCGAAAATATCCCCCCTCGACTTATATGCGTTCGCTTAATAGCATTATACCTATGCTAATGTATTCGACAAGCAAAAGTTGAAATGAAAATGTAAATAAATCCAGTCCAACAATTTCAATGGTAAAATGTTGTGTCTGAACGAACATTGTAGATCAATAATTACAACTGTGATAATAATATGCTATTTGTGCCTAAATGCCAGTTCTGGATCTGGAATAGGGCCTTGTCCCAAATTGCAGGGTATGGATAAACTAAATTTAACAAAAGTGAGTTTTAAAACCAATTTTTTCACAAGGTTTTGTGTGCTTAGTGAGGTTAGGAAATATTGTGGAGTAATGGTCCAAGGAACGAATATATGCATGCTTGTGAGGTTGTAGCTATTTGAATGTATATTTTCGAGTATACCAAAAGTAGACGACCGAATATAATTTATCAAAATAAATGTGGCTAAAATATTTCGAACATTTCCTTACTGCGCTTGATATCATAAAGTTTATAAGTTTAGATAGGTTGATCTATGGAATCATATACAGGGTGTCTGTAACAGGTCTTTACAAAGACATGCCACATAATCCTTAGACTAAAATAAGTCGATTCAAGTAAAATTACCTCAGTACAAAGTTGCATCATTTGGGCTCCAGAAGGCCTTGAAATTACAATTTTTAAACCGTTTTTCCCATATAAATTCAAAACGACATATGCGATTTTGCTGAAATTTGGTATATTGATAGAATTTTAGGTGGCGAAAAAAATTGTGTTGAAATTTTGTCCGATAATAATTCATAGGCGTAGAACTTGATATTTAAATGATTGCACCTATAAAAATTCTACGCCAATGGAAGAAAAGGAGTTTGAGTATAAAATTTAGATTGCGCAACTCATTTACTTCAAAAAAAGGTACTCGTGTTAAGACTCGATTGCTCTCATGGTTTTGACGAAATTTGCATTTTAGTAATTTTAGAACATAAAAAATAATTATTAAAATACAAACTTTGTCAGAACCATGAGAGTAAATCGAATGTTATCAAGGGTACTTTTTTGTCGAAAATGAGTATCCAATCCAAATTTCATACTCAAACCCTTTTTCTGCCATTGGCGTAGAACCTGATTTTTTAAATAATTGCACCTTTAAAAATTGGCGTAGAATTTTTAGAGGTGCAATTATTTGAAAAATCAAGTTCTACGCCTATGTATTATTATCGGACAAAATTTTAACATCATTTTTTTTTGCCACATAAAACTCTATCAATATACCAAATTTCAGCAAAATCGTATATGCCGTTTTAAATTTATATGGGAAAAACGATTTAAAAATTGTAACTCCAAGGCCCTCTGGAGCCCAAACGATGCAACTTTGTACTGAGGTAATTTTACTTAAATCGACTTATTTTGGTCTAAGGAATATGTGGTATGTTTTTGTAAAGACCTTTTACAGACACCCTGTATAGATATACAGAGGGTGTTTCATTACTAACTGGAAACATTCTAACTATATATATATATATATATATGAAACTTAGTAGTGGGGAAGCAGCAAGTAAAAGTGAAACTCATGCAAGTTCGTCCAAGCTTTCGGAAAGTTATATTTCCATCATCAGGGCCAGACTACAAAATGTTATAACAATTATAAGCAAAGCTAGTTGACTAAGTGGTGCAGTACTAGCTTTGCTCATAATTGTTATAACATTTTGTAGTCTGGCCCTGATGATGGAAATATAACTTTCCGAAAGCTTGGACGAACTTGCATGAGTTTCACTTTTACTTGCTGCTTCCCCACTACTAAGTTTCATCTCTAACTTGTCAGCAACGACTTCCCTTCTCTCTATATATATATATATATATAATTCTGAGTTCAAACCCAAATCATCTAAAATAATGTGTCTCCTGTCTGAGTTACAGGGTGTTTTATTTAGATATACAAAATATATTTGTGGCTAGTACTTCAGAAGTATTCGACGTTTCATGGTCATATGTATATTCAGTGGGAAGTGTACATACTGAACACCCTAATGAATCATCTTATAGCGAATTTCATCCGTAAACCTGGTGGTGCACTGGTTTTGCAACCAGTTTTGCACCCGCACTACGTTTTTTCCTCTCCAAAGATGAATTAATTGAATCTAGAAATCCAGTCTGACGATGATTAAATTGGGTTTGATTCCAAATCTGCCACACAAGTTCTTTCCCAGCCATGAAACAATATTCTTCAGTTGCATAGTAATGTTTTTGAATAATTATAAATGTATATGTATTTTTCCCTTGAGTATAATTTGTTTCCTATTTTGATTTCATTTTCTAGCTACCAATAATTTTGATGATTTTCACGTTGCTCTGGGACCAATTTTATTTTCATGAATTATTTGTTCTTCGTAGTATTTCCTACTTTCTTGTCTAATCAATTTTGTTAAATGATTCCTGACTATTCAATACACGTTCCAAGGAGTTTCGGATTTAGTTGCATTTTCTTAATTGATAATCTGTTTCTTTATTGTATCACTCTCATGCCCTCATCTGAAAACTACACATTCAATTTGAAATTATTGAAAATTTCATATTTTTTGTAAGGCGCTAGCGTATCGAGACGAGTAATTGAACTTAAAAGTAAATTGAGCGCTGAAATATTACCATCTACTATAAACTTATTGAAATTCCATTAGTACTAGAGAACGGAAAATTGAACCTCCTTATGGATTCCTGTAACTATTTTTGATTTATACCCACTGTAGACGAAGGCTTATACATAGAAGGGCAGTGTGCCAAATCTGGAGTGTATATAGCCACAGTATTTAAGTGATTGTGGTGAATTTTTGAAGGTATGTCCATTTAAAAAAGTTCCCCATTCACCTCTTGGAATCAATTCACAAAAATCTGGACCACCCTCAATAAGGATATACCGAAGGATCTGTAACATAACACAATACCTCACTGTTGATGTACGCTTTTGAATATCTATCTCAGAATCAGAATATGGGCAAGGCTAGTGTTATGAAAAGCTCCATCGATATAGGTACTTGAAGGATAGAGGACCCAGATCGGAGCCAATTGTCACACAATGCAACATAATTTTTCTAGTCCATCAACAGTGTTCAGTTCAGCGAATAAAAGGTCAATTGCGATTGTTGTATTATTTTCGGTATCATCTTTGACACTTTGGGTCAAAATAATAACAAAATTGAGCACATGGGTCTGTAATAAATTCCATTGAATGTTAATTATCACGGTTTGCATTTATTGGAAACTATAAGGAGTTTACATCAGTTAAATTGTTGCATCGAAAAAATTGAGAGAAAAATGTCGTGACCATTATGAACCTATAATACAAAGAAACGGTTTTTAACGGTGACGTGATTATGAGGGGTCCAAGGTTAGTAGAACTAGAGTCACTGGATGGTATTGGTCAGATAAGAGTTCGGACACAGAAATGACAACTGTTAGTGTTTTTGAATGTTACACACCTTGCATTGTGACAACAGCATCATAGTCGTTCCGCACTTTTTCATCCAAAATACACTTTCCTGAAATGCTGATGACTCGATCATTATACAGGGAAAAACCAAAGTTACTCTTTCACCATATACTTCTCAACGCCCTTTGGCAAAATTGCGTGGTTGGACTTGACTTGATTATGCTTCGGATTGATGTGTGATCCCATCTTAACACAATAGTTTCTGATTCACATCAATATCATATTTTTGAGAGATGATACGAGTGTTTTAGAAAAGTATGGTATTTTTCAATTTTTTCTACCAATAATCAGAACCTACATGAACTCATTGATTAACAACTTAAAGAATCAATATCACTTATTTCTACCTCACTTTCTTAGAATTTAGTACGGAAAATTTATTACATGGAACAAACAAGTAGCAGACCTCTAGTCAATATAACGAGTATGCTCTCCTCGAGGTTGAATTACAGCTTTCAACCGCCGTGGCATCGAATTGATCAAATTTCTCAAGTAGTCTCGAAGAATTGCCTAAAATTCTCCTTGAAGGGCGAATCGTAGCTCTTGAAGAGTCTCTGACAAAGCTGGACGATAGCGAATGAGCCTCTGGAGGTCACCCCTAAGATACTCCATATAGGTTCTGAATTATTGTTATTGAAAGTTAAAAAACTCTATACTTTCTTGAAACACTCGTATCTTCTCTCAAAAAGAAGATATTGACGTGAATCAAGAACCGTTGTATGAAGAATTGAAGTTTGATCCTCTTTAGATCACACTTCAATTCAAAACATGATGAAACAGAAGGTTGGAGAATGGTTCTGAATAATTGTTAATAAAAATTTCAAAAATCCATATTCTCTTGAAACCCTTGAATCTTTCCTTAAAAAGTGGTTATCGACGTGAATCAGAAACCATCATGTTCAGAAGGGATCACACTTCAATCCAAAACATAATCAAGCTAAATGAAACCACTCACCTTTCCCACAGGGCGTTAAGAAGTTGAGGGTGAAAAAGTACCTTTTGTTTTTCCCTGTATAATGACCAAGCCACCAGCTTCCCTTAGGAACCAATATTCAGGCTAACATTCCGAAACATAAATACGATTTGGTCGAAATTTCACCAAAATCGGACAAAAATTAAAAAAGTTACACGACGAAAATTTGACAATAAATATTATGAAAGTTATTATTGGAATATAATATCATAGACTATTGAGAAAAAAAAGGATACATGCAAATGTCCTGCTGTGTAATGAATTACGGGAATTCTAAAGGAAATGGCGACTTCATTTCTTTAATTTTCCAAAGGAAATATCGAACATTCCCTTATGGAAGGAATGTATGAAACCTGGATGGAAAATTAATTTGAAGACAAGCAAAATTTGTGAAGTAAGTACGAACATTAAAATTCACTTCTCATAACTGCAGATTGAAATGAAGCTATATTTTAGGCACATTTTCAAACAGAACAAGATTTATAAGATCCGTATGAGAGAATCTGCTGTTCCATTGTTTTACAACACAGATTATTAAAAAAAATCCAATAATATCATCACACGAAATGCAAAACAAACTTATCATAGAGAAACAGGAACTGATTGCAAAACTACGTAATAAAATTGAAAATTTGAGAACGAAACCGACCAAATTCAAAATTTATCAGTGAAAAGTGAATGCAGCCTCGAATGCAGCACAAGGTGGAAAATCAAAACAATCTTTATGTTTTTATCACTCTGGTAGGTACAGTGTTACCTACATACAATGAGTATGTCTCTATATTTTCTTATTAAAATGTTGTTACATGAATTCTTTTCATTTTCATAACTATTGTTCTGCGAAAAGTACCTTATCGCTATGAGTTGGAGTGGGTGTTTATACCCTATTTCTATTTTCCATCTACGGCAATGATAGACTTGACAGAAAATCTAACCTCTAAAATCGGATTTGACAATCAGGCGCTACTAGAAGAATTGAATAGACGAAGAGCAGAATATATGTCTTATTCTTTTATTCACTCAAACCATTGTAATATACAGTGTGACCCACTTCTAATGGAACCACCCCTGTATCTTACGTAATCGTTGGGTAAGGATCCTGAAATTTGCTGGAGCGAGAGATATACCAAAAATGCACTCTATGACCAAGTGGGGTCATCTTCAGTGATATACACTGCTCGCCAACAGCCATGAAACTACCCCAATTTCCGGAAAATGATATTAGGAGTCAAAATAGGTCGAAAATCACTTCAGATTTGGAATCAGGACGCCCAATTCACTAACTATTCAAATTTTTCCTGGACAATTTTCAGTTCGGAAAAATGAAATTTTTTTCGCATTTTTAATGGAAGCACCCCCGTATCTCACGTAATTGACTTTATCTTTGGACTTTCTCTTCCTCCGGCAAATTTCCGAACCCTACCTCAATAATTACGTGAGATACGGGGGTGCTTTCATAAAAAATGCGGCAAAATTTCATTTTTCCGAACTGAAAATTTTCCAGTAAAAATTTGAATAGTTAGTAAATTGGGCGCCCTGATTCCAAATCTGAAGTGATTTTCGACCTATTTTGACTCCTAATATCATTTTCCGGAAATTGGGGTAGTTTCATGGCTGTTGGCGAGCAGTGTATATCACTGAAGATGACCCCACTTGGTCATAGAGTGCATTTTTGGTATATCTCTCGCTCCAGCAAATTTCAGGATCCTTACCCAACGATTACGTAAGATACAGGGGTGGTTCCATTAGAAATTAGAAAAGTACAAAAGATCAGCTGTGTCCATCCAGTGACTCTGAGTAGAACTGGTGATTATTTGTATAGGAAGTAGCTTTTCTCAATCATCAGAAAACGCCTTGAGGGCAACTAAGAATTGTTAACCTAATCGTATGCAAAATGTTATGGTAGTAAATAGCCTTTAAATAAATTGTGATAATGACAACTTGAATTAATGTATCTGATGGTAATCGAAATCTAGCAAACTCATAAATCGTATTTCAGTTTGCAGGTCACTGGTACGAAATTGAGAGATCCTTTTATCTCATGGAATTGATCAGTAGTTGTGTCACAGTCGATATCGAAGAGAGAATAAAAGGAAAACTGGAAATTGAAGTTAAAACTAGAAGTTCTTGGTGAGTTGAAGACATGGTTATTGTTTAAGTGAAATCAGACAGTCGAAGAATGTTGCTGGTTCAGGTCAACAGGGTGTTCTTGGGGGAGATTTTATTTCAAAATTTCTCAATAACTTTGTAAGTTTCAACAGCATGAACAGGAAATTTTGTAGTTTCAGGTTTTCTGACATGAGAAATACGAATTCGCAACTTATTTTGTGATTGCTCACAGTAGGTGCTATACAGGGTGTCCCACTTACCATGCTCACCATGGGTATCTTTTTAACAGTGAGAGATACGAGGTCGGTTAAATGACACCAAATGTGGAGTTTGTCAAGGCCAACTATAATGTGAACAAAAATTTTGATAACATCTATTCGTTTTTGTGTTATACGCAAAAAACAGATTTTGATCATTTTCATGTCTCCTCCGTAACTTCTTTATTCATGAAAATATTCAAATTGGAATTTCACATTCTCATGGCAGTTTTTCAAAGTGATTTCGAAAAAAATATTTAATTTATACCAACTCATCTAGAATTTGAGATATCAGCACCAACATCAGTTTTTCAAATGTAGATCATAGCTCACTATGACTTAGTTACAAATAACTTTTTTTTCTCTTACAGATGATATGTCGCAGTAATAGTTTTGTGTTGATAACAACGAAGTTATCGTCAATTTATACAAAAATAAAAAATTACTTGGAAGCCGCCATCTTGAATTTATTAATTTCAACAAAAAATCATTATCTCCGACCTCAAAAACCCCCACTTACCAATTTTGAATGGAATCGGACCAAATCTTGTCCGCCATCTTGGAGTTGCCATTTTTTAATATCAACAAAAATTCCATAATGTATTGTCACTGAAATCATGAACACCTGCCAAATTTCAAGTTAATCGGAGTTATGGAATTTTTGTTGAAATTGAAAAAAATGGCTGCTCGAAGATGGCGGACAAGATTTGGTCCGATTCCATTCAAAATTGGTAAGTGGGGGTTTTTGAGGTCGAAGATCATTATTTTTTTGTTAAAATTCATAAATTCAAGATGGCGGCTTCCAAATAATTTTTTATTTTTGTATAAATGACGATAACTTCGTTGTTATCAACACAAAACTATTACTGCGACATATCATCTGTAAGAGAAAAAAAAGTTATTTGTAACTAAGTCATAGTGAACTATGACCTACATTTGAAAAACTAAAGTTGGTGCTGATATCTCAAATTCTGGGAAGAGTTGGTATAAATTTCATATTTTTTTCGAAATCACTTTGAAAAACTGCCATGAGAATGTGAAATTCCTATTTGAATATTTTCATAAATAAAGAAGTTACAGAGGAGACATGAAAATGATCAAAATCTGTTTTTTGCGAATAAAACAAAAACGAATACATTTTATCAAAATATTTTTTTCACATTAAAGTTGGCCTTGACAAACTCCACATTTGGTGTAATTTAACCGACCTCGTATCCCTCACCGTTAAAAAGATACCCATGGTGAGCATGGTAAGTGGGACACACTATATAGTGGCACTATATGTTACTTTGGTAAATTACATCATATCTTCTATGTCCATTGAATGGTTATCAAAATAAATGCAAACTCTGAGAATCTGTTCAAGTTTACATAAAAAAATTGACTCTTCTTGTGATTGCCTAGCTCTAAAGGTTTTTACGTTATTCGCTCTTGAACAGATTTATGCCCCCTTCATAACATTTTGATAATTTTAAATTATTAAGTTAGCGAAGCGATAGTGGTAAAAAGACAGCCATCAATAATAGCAATCACTAACAACGCCAACAACAAACATAATTTCAAAGTAAATGCTTGACCAAAGTTGAAGAAAAATTTGTGCAAAGCACAGATACCGTCACGGGCCAACTTCCCAGATGGCACCTCATATTCCTGGAATATGCCTAATAAATCCTTTTTTCTGATAAATATTGCCATATCCCTGGAATATTCCATGAATATGTTCTTGATCTAATATCCCCAAAAGAATATTCCTGGAATATATTTTTCGAATATTCATCGGATATATTTCTTCAATATACCATCAGGAATATTGCAAAATCAGGTTGTCGGAATGCCGACCTATTCAGAATTGAATAAGTTATTTTAGCAGAAGTGCTAGAATGTGTATCGATGAAGACCTACAAGTTTCGGACTTTTGAAGTTAGTTACAATAGAAAAATGGAACATTCCCAAGTAGAACACATATATTGGGACAATACCGGTGCAATAGTTCGAAAATATGGCAAAATATTGTGAAAGTAATATTGGCGAGAAAAACATTCGATTTTCCCCTGAACACCCTGTGTCTGCTACATTTATATAAGGCATATTTTGGGATAGCAGTGATGAATTCAATAGGAGCTGAACTGGGCATACTTGAATAGCATAGCATATACTTGAGAAAATGAAAACTGATTGAATTCACTCACCTTTACTTCGGGCGAGCAACAAAAGTTGGAAGTACTAGATACTGAATTTGTCAATATCTGAGTTGATCACAGCTGATTTCAATCGGTTGTTTATTTCTTTGTCACGTTCATATCTTCAACAACACAAACATTTCATGAATTTTCCATCTAACAAATGGGTAGAAATAGTTGAATCGATATCTTGAAAAATTATTGAATAATTTTGACAATACACTATATTCTTTGTGCATTTGGGGTCTAAGATGATTTCCCAGACCAGCAAGAGTGCGTTTGAAATATCGAAGGATTCGAAAATCTACCTAAATAATTTTAGAGTCACCATGTTATGACAACCACAGTATATTATCCTTTTTACAAGTAAGGATCATATTTTTCAGGACTGGTACATTTTCGATCAGTGAAGGAATAGCTGTTCCCACTAGAAAAGATCCGAGCATTCTTCTTTATAAGGTTAGCAGCAGGCTTCCTAGGGTAATCAACAGATATCTACCAGGAGCAGGATTTTATCAAGTTCTTAAGACTGACTATACAGAATTCGCAGTGATTTATTCTTGCACCAATTATGAAGTCGTACATTCAGGTAATAACTCACAATTTCGTATAATGAATATTCTTTTCATTATATTTCATTATACTGCTTCTCAGAGCATAACTGTCCTATTATGTCTATTCTTTAGCACAGTAACACAAGAAAACTCGATGAGTATCCATAAGATATCCATATTGGATATCTGGAATATTCCGAGAACATGCATGCATTTGACATAAGAAGTATATTTAATCGATGTTCAATGGATATTCCTAGTGCAAGAAGCCAGACTTCCATAAGATATCCTTTAGAGATGCTCATCAGATATCTTTCAGTCAGGGATATACATCATAAAGATATTTTTTTGTCGAATCCGTATCAACGAGTATTTTTGCACTTTTCTATATTTGCTGTATTTCTAGTACCATAATATAGATACTCAACTTACACCAAAACAGGTGTAACATTTTCAAGTTAGAGAGGTAAAAACAACGTTTTTTGTTTCAGATATGATATGGATTTGGGGAAGAAATACAGAAATCAACGTAGCACTGAGATCTGAAATTTATTTAATGCTGACTGAAAACCATTTAGACTCCGAGAGACTTCTTCTGTCTAAACACTATAATTGTACTTTTAACAATCTGTCAATTGATGAATTTCTTGATTCAAATTTATAATTCATGACATACTTATGTTTGTATTTTCTACGATCTTTAAAATAAAAAACCAACCACATACTCGCTGCATCACTGTAGCTGCATCTGTATTTCACTGCACGTCACTTATTCATAAATACATACAGCAATCTGTAGTCTCAAGCTCAAGTTTAAAATTGGTTCACTAACACGTTGAGAGATGTCGCTAACTACATATCAATGCACAGATTCACTTTGCAATGTTGTCAACTCATACATTCTATGAGTAGTTCTAGCCATTTACGAAGCGATGAAGCTACTCTAAATTTTTTGAACGATTTCCGAAAGAAAGTCATGACTGATCGCAAAGACAGGTATATTCACTATATCGCACCTTTGACATTCACTTCCCATTGGCGATCATCACTGAAAATCAATATATTTATATAATCATTGTCATTACTTTGAAAAATAGAGAAATCAAATTTATTGAATGAATAGAGATATTAAAATTCAGTGGGGTATTTTCGAAAAGCTCTTCAACAGATCTTTCCAATGATGGGGAAGTGTCATAAAATTTTTGCTGCTCCCTGTATACTTTTTTGGTTAGTCAAAATGCATCTCTTGATTCGAGTAGGAAAGAGAATCCCCTGTGAGGCTGTTTTTATTTTTTTTTCTACATAATGTGACATGTGACATATTTGATTGATTCAATTGAGCTGCTGTCAATTTTAATGCAATAATATTGTATGACAAATTGATATTCATCATACAGGACGTGGAAAGTATTTGTTTTCTGTTGAATAAACCGAGAAATTGATATTTTTATCACATGGAGAATGCGAATTCTCAATGAATTTCTTAATATATATATATATCCATTTTTTCATGTTCATAATTTTCCTGAGAATATTCCCCTTCAATAATATTTTTATTTGCAGTAATCTAGTTCAATAATTTTGACATTTGCACTAAAAATATTGTGTAGAGTGTAGGTATTCGAGCGACCTCAAGATTATCCTGCTACTGCCGCATATAGCATTATATAGGGCGTTCCGTTTGAAAAAAATTGTCGTGGACGTCTCACCTCAAACGCGGATCACCCTGACCCTGTACCTATATCTGATTTTTACTCATAAATGTGGAATATTGTAAATGAAAATCGATCTGTTTCAGGAGATTTCTCAGAAATGCACAGTTTGGCTAAAAATTGATTTTTCAGCACTTTACCAAATCACTGTATATTATGTACGTCACTCCTGATGGAGAGGATTTAGAGATAAATAATTCAGTCTCTCATTTATCATTGCTGCTACACCAGGATGGCCTAACGAAAACGAAACAATGTGGTTCTTGAACCCCAAAGATTTCATACATTTCCTCATATAAAGTTTTCCTATACAGCAATATCTCTCTTCATTGACAAGGCAAATGAAAAATTCAGAAACTGCATTGAATGGCATTGAAGTACCTTCCTAATGACATATAAAACAAATTATTACATATTATGACAGTTTTCTGGCAGCTATTCCCCACTTTTTATTTTCAAATGGCATCCCCTGTATATTATCATTGAGAATTGCATGTCATCATATGAGGAATACAACGATAGCATATACTTGGTATTTTTTTATTATTATATAACAACGGAAACAGCAACATTTAATGTATGAATTTCAACTAAAATATCTTTTATGCGAATCAAGAAATGAACAAAAAATCACAGCAATTATTCAAAATTATTGAACAAAAAACATGAGCAAAGGCAATTTTTCATTTTCATAAGGATTATTAAGTAACTTGAAACAAGTCACAAAATGTTGATATTTTTGTTGTTATCAATACAAATATATACCAAGTATACGCTACGTATATTTAAATTGTTTCAAAGTGGCGTACTTGATTTTTTTCTCGTATGTTGTTCAAGTTTTGGGATGAAATATCTCGTTAATTAGAAGGATTACAAAAAATCTTATATCATGGAAATATGCCTTATAGACTGTAACATATTAATGTGCTGAATATTTGCACTTATTTCAAAAACACCTTGTATATATCTTTCCTCCCATGTGTGTTTTATGCCCTCCTACGCGTCATGCATCACACTTTACACGCAGGAGGAAATGGATACATCATTTGCTCCCTTGATATACAGGCTGATTCAGGTTTCAAGGTACAAGCCGAAATGGGTGATATATATCTCATCATTTTGATGAAAAAGTGTGTATATATGTCTCTGATATCGATCAGTATAGCGGAGATACAGTGGGTCAAAGTTCAATTATTTTTTTCTATCAATTGAAATATCTCGCTCACTTCTGAAGATATCAACTTGAAATTTGATGTGTGTGGTCAATACTTTGTATAAAATCATCATAATATGAAGCATTTCAAAGATTTTAAAAATCGATGAGGTGATACGTTCTTGGGGGTAGAGGCTTCTGTATTCCCCCCAAACTTTTTCGTAGTATGCCTCTGACATCTTCCAGTTACCAAATAGTGTGGATCGTTTAATTCAAAGACTTTATAGGCATCTCAATTTTTTTGCGGAACGCACCGTTTTCGAGATAAATAAGCATATCCGTGCAATAACATGTTAATTTTGCCTATTTTGATTTTCTCAATGCCATAAAATGTACCGAATTCCAATCTGAAACAGTGGCGGAGATACAGAGGGTAGAAGGACAGGTTGCTTTCAACTGACCAATCAAAAGACGACCAGTTGTATCCAAAATATCTTTTTCAATATCATTTGAAAAAATAAAAAAATTAAAAAACATTCAACTTGTCGGGAAGAATCTTCTTACGGAGTTTGATTATTTCTTTTGCGTATTCCATTATTTTTTCCAAGAATGATATCCGAAAGAAAAATATACGGATATGCTTATCTACCTCAAAAACGGTTCGTTTCTCGGAAAAAATTGAGAAGTAAAAATAAGGGTGGATAACGAAACCTATACATTCAGAAACGTATCAGCCTGTAGATTTAAAAAAATTTATGAAATGCTGAAAATGCTGGATTGCTAGAAAGTATTGAATACACCAAATTTCAAATTTATATCTTCATAAGTGAGCGAGATATTTTTCGCTAGTGATCGAGATCAGATTCATATAATGAAAACTTTGTCAATTGCAATGATTAGATCTATCACCCATTTCAGTTTGTACCTTAAATCACCCTTTATGTATAAATAGCTATTATCACAGTTCAGGGAATCTACAGGATGTCTCAAAGTTGCTGGGACACAAAGCTTCCACGTGTAATATATCGTTCAAAATAAGTTGATTGGATTCAACTTATTTATATAAAAAATGTATTGTATGTCCGTGAGACGAGTTCAAAGTTTACATGAGAAAGCACATTTTTGTATACGCTGTATACGCTCAAAAATGAATGAAACAAATAGGACGAAATCTGACAAAAGTGCTTTTCAGAGGATAGCCCTTCTTTCAGAGATCAAATAAACCCGAAATAAATTGTAGAAGGGTTGAATCCACCCTAACCAATTGAATTTTTTTGGAACATTCTCAGGGGTGATAACAGGGTTCTCAATTTTTTTTTCTTTTCTATGTATACTTTGAACTCGTCTCACGGACAAACGGTACATTTTGTTATATAAGTAAATTGGGTCCAATCAACTCACTTTGACCTGTATTACACATGGTAGCTCTGTGTCCCAGCAATTTTGAGACACCCCGTATACCTATAATAATATTATAGAGGAAATATCTGTGTGTTTGTTTGTTTATATTGAATGCGCTTCGAAACTACTAGACCGATTTGATCCTGATGATCCTACTACAGAACGACTGCAACAAATGTCTTACTTTTTTCAGATAGGCAGAGATATGTAAATGTAATATTCTTTAAACTGTGGTTTCATCGGAACTTAAACCATCGTTCAACATAGTATTCTTGGACGACACCTCAAATGTCTTATGTCATTCTCCTTTCTCCTACTTCGCTAAACCATAGAAATAAAATAGGGAAGTTTTTTTTCATGCTCTGGTTCCAACGAATACGGATATCCTGTGTAATGTTCAGAGAACATCGTGAGAACCAAGGGAAATAAAGTAGGAATTGGTGTTCTTCTTAAATTTCTGGAGGTTATATGACTCGGGGAACACCTCCCTTGGCAATGTGTTCCAGAGCCTCGACTGCCAAGGAAGGAACAATTGTTCATATTTCAGTAGAGCATCGTCCATGAAAATATTTTTAAAACATAGCCAGGTCGCCAACTTTTCTACGGTGTTCCAGAGAAGTGAGTGAGTTCGTGAGCGAGGCATCACCCACGAGACGAATTACCCTTTTTTGGACAGGAATCGAACAATATGATACTGAGAATAATTATGTCATTATCGAACAACATGAAAAATTTACAATACAATGATTCGACCGTGTTAGGCAAGAAGGACTCCTCCACAAACTACCATCATACGGCTTACCACCTCAGCTATGTCATCTCTTATCGAGTATTCTTTCAGGCAGATCGCTTCACGTGGTGGTGGACGGTGTATCGTCTGATACCATTGGCATCAATTCCAGTGTACCACAAGGATCAATTTTGGCAACAACATTATTCCTTCTCCATAACAATGTGCCCCATCCACAGCTTCGCAGATGATAGTACCCTCCATACTGCGTTCTCTTCCAGAATTCCCATTTCTTCCCAGGAAACTAAGAACTCACGGCGCAGGCAGGTCAATGCTGTCAATGAAGACCTTGCTGAAATCACAGCCTGGCGAACCAACAACCTAGTTGAATTCAACGCCACCAAATCTCAAGCCTGTATTTTCTCTATAGAAAGGCGGAACTCAGTATGCCCGATATTGTAATGTCTGGCACCACCGTCCCTACCAAGCCCACCATATCTATGCTCGGTATTTCCATCAGCAACACTCTTTTATCATGTCAGATCCATCGCAAAAGCTGCTTCACAAAAACTCGGATTCTTGTTCCGTGCGAAAAGCTACTTTACACCTCAACAGCTTCTCATGATCTACAAAGCGCAGATACGGTCTGTTGTAGAATACTGTTCCCACATATGGGGTTCAGCACCAAAACATACGCTGATGCTCTTAGATTCCATCCATAGAAGAGCCATTCGCCTGGTGGGTG